ACACCACCGAGGCACATTTTGCCCGACCACTCATTCTTCAACATCTCTATGTTAGCTATCAGCCACCAACCATCAACAGGCTTGGTCGGATATGCGATTTCGCTTTATCAATCCCGTTAAGCTGACAGCCACTGTTATATATAATACTTCGAAATTATAGTATTTCCACTGCTTTTTCGCAGTGTTATGATGTTACTTATATAACTAAGAGAACTGAGTGGTGAACAAAGACGCGGCCTCAAGGCGGAAATCGAACCCACGTTTCATCCTATCCGGGGACGCGTGCTCTACCACTACACCACTGAGGCACATTTGCCCGACCACTCATTCACCCACTCATATCCGACCAAACCTGTTGATGGTCGGTGGCTGATAGCTAACATAGAGATGTTGAAGAATGATTGGTTGGGCAAATGTGCCTCAGTGGTGTAGTGGTAGAACACGCGTCCCCGGATAGGATGAAACGTGGGTTCGATTCCCGACTGAGGCCGTGTTTTTGTTCACCACTCAATTCTCTTAGTTATATAAGTAACATCATAACACTGCGAAAAAGCAGTGAAAATACTATAATTTCGAAGTATTATGCAATTTTAGTTATTTCTGGTTAACAAGTTTGGTGTTTATTGGTGTAGTGCCAAAACTTAAGGAACGACCTAATATCAGTGCTCGTTTATCCCTGGAGGGTCCTATCGTAACGGATAAACGAGGTCAGCAAGACAGATGTCGTTGTTTGGTTCCCGCGGCGCTCTGGTATGACCTAGCCGATTGTCTATTCGGATAAAGTTATCTGATTAGTATTTCGGTAGTTTCTTGATAGTAATATCGACTAGATTTGTCTCTGTAATGTCTCAAATCAAAGGACACCCAACGGAGCGCCGAAGATCAAATGACAATCTTTGCCTGGATAACATGTCTCATGACAAGCACCGTCTAACAGAGGAAATGAGAAGGAGATTAGCTCGAACATCGGCATTCAAAAGTATTCTCCCCGGCCGGGAATTGAACCCGGGTCTCGCACGTGACAGGCGCGGATACTAACCACTATACTACCGAGGATGGGGTCGAGTACGTGCTTCGACAAACACGTTTCGTGTCGTATCGCAAATATCATCCGGACTCTGTGAGTTGGTCTTCAACAGACCACATGCATGGCTCAAAAAACGACCATCAGGCATATTGAAATTTTGCAGCGCTCTCAAGATAACACTCGAAACAAAAGAATAGAGAGGAAGAAGTTTTGCTGGATCACAAAAATCAGAAAACGAGCGCTCCGAGTGTGAACCATATTCTTACTTTTGTTGTTACAGCGAACCAAGAAGGCCTTTCAAGGAAGCAAGCCCTAGTATTGAAATCGTCGAGATTCAGGCTTTCGAATCACTACTGAAATTCTCGGAAAAATCCTCTGTCCAGCAAAAAAGGCCCTCTAAAATTATGACAGCCAAAATAACCCTCATCGTCTGGAAAGAGAAACGATGAGTCATTCGCAAATTTACACGAATGGGGTTACTTGATAGGTTCAGACTCTGTGAAAGGCGGAGGCGGCGCTGAATACCAGCCATTTGATTTTAGCCGATTGACTTCGGCGGACCCAAACTGGGCTTGTTCTAACTGGCAAGGGCTCCCTCTATCATCAGGATAGGAACAGCTCCACTCCATCCCCCTCCCCCCCCCCTCCCTCTGCGACGACTCTGACAGCGTCGCAATCACTACTTTGTGTGTATCACTCCTCTCTGCCACTAGGCACCCGTCCATCGGGAAGAAGGTTGCTAGTTCGATCCCGTACCACAACACTTCAAAGTCCAACGTCGCGTACGCTTTCTGTAGAAAAAGGGCAGTCTGTGAAATATTAAAGACCGACGGGGTTCAGTAAAAACTGATATTTCAATTCTAATCATTTGTTTTTTTCGGCAAATCTGAGCATATCTGCCACATAATCAAACCCAAACCAAGAAATCAATAAAATCGATAGATCCGATCGATCAAGGACCCGCCACGAAAAGGTGGGCGGTCCCTTGTATGTGTTCTTCGAATTGCCATCTGGATTAGTATGCACTAATTAGCAATGGAGCAAAATTAATGGCGGTTCGGGTGATGATACGGTAGCAGAAAGGACGGCTAGGAAGTGGTTTCGCGAAGTTTAAAGCTGGAGAGAACACTATGGAAGATCAGTCGCGCTCAGGTCGTCCACTGGAAGCTCCATTATCTTGCGCCTCAATCCACTTAGCATTTTCCCTTAAACGTCATTCGTTCATGAGTGCCATGATAATTTGTTCCGCATTACAGCTCCATCATAAAGCAAGCATGTGTAGGTTGTATATTAAGATGTTAGCATGAACGATACCAATACTATGCAATTTTATATAACTAAGAGAATTGAGTGGTGAACAAAGACGCGGCCTCAAGCGAGAATCGAACCCACGTTTCATCCTATCCGGGGACGCGTGCTCTACCACTACACTACTGAGGCACAATTGTCCGACCACTCATTCACCCACTCATATCCGACCAAACCTGTTGATGGTTGGTGGCTGATAGCTAACATAGAGATGTTGAAGAATGATTGGTTGGGCAAACGTGCCTCAGTGGTGTAGTGGTAGAACACGCGTCCCGGGATAGGATGAAACGCGGGATCGATTCCCTACTGAGGCCGTGTTTTTGTTCACCACTCAATTTTCTTAGTTATATAAGTAACATCATAACACTGCGAAAAAGCAGTGAAAATACTATAATTTCGAAGTATTATGCAATTTTGGTTATTTCTGGTTAACAAGTTTGGTGTTTATTGGTGTAGTGCCAAAACTTAAGGAACGACCTAATATCAGTGCTGGTTTATCCGTGGAGGGTCTATCGTAACGGACAAACGTGGTCAGCAATGCAGATGTCGTTGTTTGGTTACCGCGGCGCTCTGGTATAACCTAGCCGATTGTCTATTCGGATAAAGTTATTTGATTAGTATTTCGGTAGTTTCTTGATACTAATATCGACTAGATTTGTCTCTGTAATGTCTCAAATCAAATGACACACAACGGAGCGCCGAAGATCAAATGAAAATCTTTGCCTGGATAATATGTCTCATGACAAGCACCTTCTAACAGAGGAAATGAGAAAGAGATCAGCTCGAACATCGGCATTCAAAGAGAGCGCATGTGGGCGCAGTGGTTGGAGGTGCTCTGCGTCGCACACGGGGTCAGTAGTTCGATCTCGCGCTCATGGCTCACCAAGCAATCCATCCCTCCGGGGTCGGTAAATTGGTACCAGACAGGTCTCAGACTTGTCTGGGAGGATAAGCAGCACTGACTCGGTTCAGCGGGAGGCCACCGCGAGTTATTGTAAAGGCCAGATATGCATTCAATCAATTCAAAACGAAGTTAAAAATTGAAGCCGAGTGAATGGCACATCTCTCAGGGATTGATAAACGCCGAGAGCTTTATCCTTTATCCTTTTATCGGCATTTAAAAATATCCTCCCCGGCCGGGAATTGAACCCGGGTCTCGCACGTGACAGGCGCGGATACTAACCACTATACTACCGAGGATGGGGTCGAGTACGTGTTTTAACAAACATGTTTCGTGTCGAATCGCAAATATCGTCCGGACTCTGTAAGTTGGTCTTTAACAGACCACATGCATGGCTCAAAAAACGACTATCAGGCATATTGAAATTTGAGCGCTCTTAAGATAACACTCGAAACAAAAGAATAGAAAGGAAGAAGTTATGCTTGGTCATCAAAAATCAGAAAACGAGCGCTCCGAGTGTGAACATATTCTTACTTTTGTTGCTACAGCGAACCAAGAAGGCCTTTCAAGGAAGCAAGCCCTAATGTTGAAATCGTCGAGATTCAGGCTTTCAAATCACTACTGAAATTCTCGGAAAAATTCTCTGTCCAGCAACAAAGACCCTCTGAAATTATGAGGGCCAAAATAACCCTCATCGTCTGGAAAGAGAGACAATGAGTTATTGGCAAATTTACACTAATGGAGTTACTTGGTTGGTTCAGACTCTGTGAAAAGCTGAGGCGCCGAAACATCAGCCATCTGATTTTAGCCGGTTGACTTCGACGGACCTAACTGGGCTTGCCTAACTGGCAAGGGCTCCCTCTTATCATCAGGATAGGAACAGCTCCACTCCATCCCCCACCCCCCTCTGCGACTCTGACAGTGTCGCAATCACTACTGTGTGTGTACCACTCCTCTCTGCCACTAGGCACCCGTCCATCGGGAAGAAGGTTACTAGTTCGATCCGGTACCACAACACTCGAAGTCCAACGTCGCGTACGCTTTCTGTAGAAAAAGAGCAGTCTGTGAAATTTTAAAAACCGACGGGGTTCAGTAAAAGCTGATATTTCAATTCTAATCATTTGTTCTTTAGCAAATCCTGAGCTTATCTGCCACACAATCAAACCCAAACCAAGAAATCAATAAAATCGATAGATCCGATCGATCAAGGACCCGCCACGAAAAGGTGGGCGGTCCCTTGTATGTGTTCTTCGAATTGCCATCTGGATTAGTATGCACTAATTAGCAATGGAGCGCGTTTTTGATTAGTTAATTATTGGTTGCTTATTCAGATTTTTGAAATAAGAATAAGAAAGCTTTTACTTTTATTATACTCTTTCTCAGTGTTCTTATTCTATTCCCTTTATTCTTCTGTATCTTCTATTCCTCTAGCTTTTTTCTTATTGTATTCATTTATTCAAAAAAATGAAGAATAAGAGAGTAAAAATCTAATGAGAATAAAAAATCATACTTTATTTGATAACTTTGATTTTCCTGACAGTTTTATGAAAGGCATATTTTCTATACAGCTTCTTTAGGTCGCCATAAATCTGGTTCTACGTCCAGAATCAGTTTCGTCGACTTCTCTCCGTTTTTTTTTTTCTTTTTGGAGGAGAAATGCTTTTAGATTTACGAGATTAGTTAGTAGTAAATGATCCAGTGTAGCTCTGTTATTGCCAAAAAATAAGGAAAAAAACTTCCGCGTAGAAAGAGTGATGGCAACAGGCGTCGATAGCGCAACGGGTTAGAGCGCGCACCCTTGGAAAGGGTGAAATACGGGTTCGAGTCCCGCCTGGCGCAAGAAGTTTTGCTCATCACTCAACATCATTGGGCATAAAGAACTTTGTTGTTTTTTATGAGCCAACAAATTAGAAGAGAGAGCAGAGGTTTTAGCTGGTATAATAAGCCTGTTGCTGTTTTTTGATCTGCTAAGGATCCTCTTCCAGATGTGAAATATCTGATGACGTTGTATCCAGACTGAGTGGTATGTAAAACCTTGAACCTCTGATTGAATCCGCGTTTATCCTTTTCCGTAGCGCGTGCTTACAACTCCACTACTGCGGCTCCTGAGCTGCTATCACTCTTCTGCGGTACAAGGAATATCTTATTTGATGGCTTTGGAAGGCGACTGGGATTAAGTTGTAGGGAATTTCATCAAATCTGCTTCGAATACAGTATTGCAATTTTTCTCTTATTTAACCCTTCAGGATCGTGGGCCACGGCCTCTGCATCTCTATCTGACAACTCTGAACGGTCTGCCCCACCTCCTCTGCATATCTAGCCCCAGAGTGTCAATGTTAGACGCAGCACTCTGAGGACTAGAGATGCAGAGGAAGTGGAGCAGACCGTTCAGAGTTGCCAGTTAGAGATGCAGAGGCTGTGGGCCCACGGTCCCGAAAGGGTTGATTCACTGAACGTTTTGAGTATTGGAAAGTTCATATGATTTACAAGAGACCCTTATCTAACTATGTTATGCTGTCATGACTGTATATGAGAATACTGAATGATATGCAAGACTTATCTCTATACGGAGTTGAACTCTTGTATCGCCCTTTACATGAGCGCGCGCTCACCACTGCACTACCTGGACTCTTCTACTGTCACCTTTCTGCTATCTGAAAAGATAAAGATCGTAAAATAACCTATGAATCTTACATTTGTTCTAATATCATCTCAATCCAATCCGCGGCAATCTGATTAGCGAAGTCCTTTTGCTGCTGAAAGCTTGTGTTATTGTAAGCTTAGAAAAAAACTCTTCTGTTATGTTCATTCAGGCCTTGGATCTGTGTAGTTATCTTTGAGACCTTGCTTTCACTGTGGATAGTTCTTGGCTTAGTGTAAGATTTGATGGAGAGATAAGGGGTAAGTTTTTGAGTTTGATCAATCCCTGAGAGATGCATCATGCATCGTTCGAGGTTATTGAATGCATGTCTGGCCTTTACAATAAGTCGCGCCGGCCTACCGATGTATCAAGTCAGCGCTTTTATTTTCCTGGTCGAGTGGACCTCTCTTTCCAATTCACCGACTCCGTGGGAAAGGAAAGCTTGGTTAGCCTTGAGCGCTAATCGAACTAAAGATCACGTGTGCATACTAGGGCACTCCAACCAATGCTCCAGTCGTTCTTATGTTAATGACAATATTTGAAAATTAATCCTCTTCATATTGTTGTGCCCTTTTTCGCTAGCTCACTGCAGGTATCAATGATTCGGTCTGCTTATATAAAATATGTACTTTGTGGTGGACACCTGTAAAACAAAAGTTCTCACCATGTACCGTCGGATTTTATCACCTTTGAAAAGTTCATTCCAAGTATCCTGAAATTCCATAGATAAGAATGGTATGTGCTGGAAAATAGTGCTTGATAGTAACTGTGGTGATTTCTAGTCATTTTGTTAATTCAGTAAAATCAAGTAATTTTGGATTAATCTTATTCTCATTTCTTATTCTTATTTTTTCTTCTTATTTTGAATTGTTAATATTTTTCTATCTCTTCTGACATTATCCTTCATAGTTTCGCTAAAAGCACTGTGGAAGTCGAGAATCCCGATTGAAAACGATTTTGCCGTTATGAATATGAACGATGAAAGTGAAGTTATTGCTACTTCTGTTGTTATTTGATGTTCTAAATAGAAAAAACAGGAAGCTTAAAAAGTATTATTTTATCGCCGAAAAGCGAGTGAGTTTTCCGTCCTTTTTTGCACAACTCAAGCCGTTTTGATCTAGGGAATCTGAGGGAAATTTAATGTGCTGCTTCCAGTACTTCTGACGTTCAGTTTGTTTTCGCCTTCTTCATAAACGTCGTAGAGCAATGGTCAAGCACGTATCCTTACAGTCTCAAGGATAACCAGGCTGGGACGTTTTGTGGGGCGTTCGTTATTGAATGCCGTAGAGTGCTAGGAGGCTCTGGGATCAATTCCGCGTTGAGCCACGCCGAGCAACACAAGCATTTGGCCATAGCTCCTCGACTATATAATTGATATAGGTTCTCTAACCTTGAACTATCGAGTGAGCAAGAGCTTTAGGATATAGCTATTGGCATAAAAGTGAATACTAACAATGATAAGTTCAGCACCTTAAGATACCACGTCATCGTTAGAAGTGTCATTAAAGCGTTTCCCACGCTTTATAAGCATACTGTTTCCATATTTTGTGTTAATCACTATGTTCCGACATTTGCTCAACACTACTTTTTGAATATCAAACAATCGTAGGCAGCTGATCATCGCTTTGAAATTAGTAATGATACAGTATTCAGTAGTCACTGGCCATTTATAAAAAGGTGATCTATCTTCCTGAGATTGTCGTTTTATTTTTCGGTTCACAATTGGAAAGAGGCCGCAGAGTGAAGAGGTGTAAGCAAATGTTATCAAAATCTAATTCGAAGAACCATGCGCGCGCAAGAGAGAGAATACGGTCGTAGAAGAATTGAGAATTGCGTGCTTTTTTTTTGCAAAAATTAAACCGCTCTTATTCATGGAATTCTAGACTAGTGCCTTATTCTTTGAGCTCGCTTGTGTGTTCAGCGTCATGGAGGAGGTGAGGAGATGATTTTGAAAATGGTTCCAGCAATCGGTTGACGAGGAACGTTGCTATATGGAACAACTTCAAATGAAATAATTGAAAATAGTGAACTAATCACTAATGTAACCATTCCAACGATTACTTTTGTAGCGGACACCTCGTCATCTCATTTTACTGGTCTGCTATGAGGTCATTTCAGTCCTCAGCCCATTATTCTTCTCCTCCACCTCTCATACAATGACCGTCCTGTTGACGTTCATTTGTTGTGACGTACTCTGCTGGATCTCAAGGACGGGTTATTCTTCGAAGATTCGAACCTCGAAAACCAGCTTGGTGTTGAGTGCCGATTAATCCACAGAGGACGTCACGCTAGCACCTTTTGTATTCAACACAGCTTCTTCGACGTAGCTGAAGTACATATGGTTCCGCTGTACAGCGCAGGGATAAAGGAATTGCTGGTTAAGTAAAATAAGTAGATCGGGATCAGTGCTGATCATTTCATTTTCTGAAAGGCTCTTACGAGTTTATTTTTGGTTTCTTTGGTTGTGTTCTTCTCTCAAGTCATTTTCTCCAGCTTGTATTCCGTTGTATTTATTGTGCATCCTCTGTATACTCTCTGATATTGATGATTCATTTGCAAGCATTGTGTTCGTGAAATGAACTCGTTGATTCGATTTGCACCGCTTGTTTTTTAGCTAACCGATCCTGTTTCGTTCAAGTTCTCTCATTTTTTCGAGTTAGTTTTCATAAGTTGTGCTGTTGTCGTGTTCTATTGAAAACGACGCTTCCAATAGAAACTGGGAGAAAGGAATCAGTGGTTCAGATCCAAAGGTAAGTAATTTATAAAGATCGAACTGTTTTATCAATTTAAATATGTAGTCGTTGCAAAACTCCCTAGATTTTCCATACTCCCGAAAGTTAGAATTACTGTAATGAAACTCTGAAAACAGACATTTAAAATGAGGAGAGCAACTAGCAATCACTTCACTACGTTCCTATCGTTCTTGCAACCGGTGAAAGTAGTTCTTACACCTATAATAAGTCGTGTTTGGCTGTTCGTCACTTATGTAAAGTGTCAGTTATGACTTAAAGTCTATGTTTATAACTTCCAAGGTAAATAAAAATTAAAGGACAAAGAGTTCAGCGTTACTGTGTCGTGCGGATCCGACGTTCATTCAGCTTCATTGAGCACCTTGCTGCTGATAGAATGACCTGTTGGCCTAATGATGTGTCGAATCAGTGTTCTTACCCGAAGAAACAACTCTGGTACTGATTCGGTGACCTTAAAGGAGTAGGTTTTTGGCCAATTTGGGATGCAGAGTCACATCAAGGATCACATGTTTGTTGGTCCACACCTAGCCATCGTGCTACACGCAGTCTTGCAACTCATTCATTTTTAAAACCATCAGCATTATAAAGAAAATTTTCTTCTGAGTAGAAGAAACGAACCTATTCATTTATTCTCATGTTGTCTACATCTTCCATCTATTTTGAGTGTCATGTGTAGATATAGCCACTTAGTTGGGCTGATTCCAATTGTTCACCTGAATTGCCTTCAACACTTGGCTTTTCATGGCGAGTGCACTTTTGGTGAGAATGTCAACTCAATTCATATCTAAGGTCATCGTGTGAAAGCTCATCAATCGGTGTTAAGCTTGTCTGAACAAAAGGGGACGGACAAACAAAAGCATTTAGCTAAGAAAACACAGCGACATTTAGACAGACACTGTCACAGCCAACAACGGAAATTTTCTTCAAATCGTACACGGATGAGTTGTCAACTAGCAAAAATTTTCCACCTCAATGGATAGTTTTTTCTGGAAACAACATTAGTCTCTGCTTTGAGTAATGTCGTAGATCTTGTTTTATATCCAAGAATACTGAGTGATACGCAAAACGAACCGTAGGCGAGAGTTCAACCCATGTTTCACTCTTACCAGGTGTGCGTGTTAAGCGATACACTATAGAAGCTTTTGCTCAGCCAATACACTTTTTGCGTTGCGAGGGTAAAAGTAGTGAAGCTGTCAGCAACTAACCGCTTAAGTGTTTAGTCTCGTAAGCACAAATCGACATTAAATTAGCTAAGCTGATAGCAATCAGATATATGTGTAAACATATGTACATATAAATGGACGCATATGGAACAGTGATAGTTGTCCTACAACACACACGTGGTCAATGGTTCGATTCCGCCCCAAAGCTCACCAACTCTTTCATCATTTCGATGTCTGATAACTGGTATCAGACTTGTCTGGGAGCATAGCAACACTGACTTCGTATATTAGTAGGCCAATGCGAGTCATTGTATAGGCTTGATGTACACTGAGCCACCCTGAACGATTTTAGATGATGTCCAATGAAGTGCATTTCTCAGGGATTGATAATATGAAGCGCTTTATTCTTTTGTACCTCATATATTACACGTATATGTGCATATATGCGTGTGCGTATATTATATATATATATATATATATATATATATGTAGATACATATATATACGTATGTATAATCTATAGGAACTCGAAAATTGTTTTTATTTACATGACCCGCCATCCCTCCATCACATCTAATGTGCGAAGTCCAGCTCTTGCATTCGCTCCGTTTCCTTTCATTCATCATCCCAGTAGTGTCCAAGCATTTCATATGCTGTTTCAACTATTGCTTGAGGGTCAAAATTTCATGAATATGAAACACTTAGTAGGCGGAATTTTAAATCGTTGAAATTTGAAGTGGTCTTGGAGTTGTTAACAAAATTTATTCAATGCAGCACTGGCTGATAGTTCGGCAGTTTCGCTTTCTCGAAACCTTGAAAGACCAGATTGACCAACAATCTATTCATTCAGACATTTTCATTACTTCAGAAGAAAATACTACATAAATTTTGTTTGCATACTGAGCAGCTTGTTTCAAATACCGTTTTGTTCTTCTTAGTCTTCCAGTTTTTTTGGAGGAGACCAGCCGCGCAGTCCTACATTAGCTTCCTCTCAACCCTCGCACAGAAAACGTGCGCTTGTGCGAAACACGTTTCAAACAGCTACCAGTGTATGTACAGGAAGTCGAAGAGAAATCCTTTACTTTGGCGAGAGAAATGGCCATTGGCCTTTTTTGATAGGAAAGGAAGTGATAGTTCCTCGGGATAGATTTAGAGAGAATAGCATATCTTTAAGCGAGAAATTTAATGAAATAAAATCCCATCCATCTTTTCCTTTATTTCTATCAATATAAACGCAGCTATAAATGTTGCTTGAAAAGGGCAGGTTTAGAAAAATTGGTAACAAAAATTGAAGGACTACCGTACACTGAAAAACAAACCACTGCGTAATGTACTGTATGACTGGCTATGTGAAGGGCTAAATTGCATAACTTCTTTTGACGCCAGAGACGGCGTTTGTGAATAGTTTGTGTATAGTATGCGTAATCTTTTGCAAAGTACATGGGAATGAATTACATTGGCAAAGCGGGCAGACCACTCGTCGTCTGTCAAAAAAGCATCTAGTTGGAGAACTCTGAGTCAAACAAGATACTGCACTATGGACTCATGAAATACAAAGACATGAAGGAGTAGAGTGTAAGATAAAAGTCCGTTTCCTCGCATAGGAGTACGAAACAATTGTGCGAAGGACTCTTGAACCATTCAAGATGAATAAGAAAGATTAAAAAATTGATCGCAACGATAAATGCCCTGTGATAACACGTGTCCTCGCACATAGCTCTGGCTAATGTTCTTCTGAGCTGAGCCAAGCAGCTCGCTAACCCCTGTAGGACTTTGGGTGACTTCTCTCCAGTAAGTAATTAGAAGACAGAAAGAACCAAATAGTGATTGTTTGAAAGAAGCTGTTTACTATGCGGGCGGAAATTTGTGTGTCAAAATTTCCCTGCTGAAGTTCTGAAAGTGTTTGGTTGAGTAGATTACATGCGAACTTGGCGCTTAAGCTTTGAAACGAAACCTTGGAATGTCAGCTAATATTTTATGGCATGAATCTTCTCGTCAACAACGTAATTTATACTCATCGTGCAAGCAGTGAATCATTCAATAATACCAAGATTACTAGAAAGTCGGTTTCTAAGGAAGAATATGCATTCTTTCAGAGCAACAACTCGCCTTTGCCATACCGATGTACCATGAAGATCTTATCCTTCTATCCTTTATGAGCCTCAGGAATATTGTAGTTTTCAAGCTCCTTAGGCCAATAGAACTCACTGAGCGAATTCGTTGCGCGCCGAGAACAAATTTGAATTTATCGGCGCTTCTACAAGTAACTCGACGATTTACAGCTCTTTGTGTAGAGATGCAATTATCGAGTTAGGTTGCCTCCTGCTTCGCTCCACTTATGCGTTCACAAAGTACTAGATAAAATTTCAGCTTGAAAGTAACTGCAAAATTTGCTGGTATACATTTCGCCACTCCATTCTGTGCAAATGTGTCTAGTTTCAAAGTCAAAGGGAAGCGATGAGAAACGTTGATATTGTTAGCCGACTGAAGGCGCGCCCGTTCATGCGTGAATGGTGCCCATTTGCATACGCAACGAAATGTCCAAAAAAGAAGGAGAAACCTGACATGATGTTCAAGAAGGAAGCGCACCATTGAGCATCAAGCGTTATTGGATAGCCTTTTCTTGCAGGCCTTTTCCAGCCGTTTTTTGAAAATGTGTTTCCTGATTAATTGATAGATTTGATTTTGTATTTTTTATTGTTTAACTAGTATCTCGTTAAGAACACAAAATAAGAGTTGGATGAAAGGGAAACTTCAGCTGTGTAATCCGAGAAAAACAATACTGAAAAGCTTGTGCATGTTCTGTGATTGATTTACAACGGTAGACAACTGCCTTGTTCCTCGGATATTTTCGTTCACGACATGAGCACTACTACCGTTTTATGCAATTCTGTGCCTTAACTTACGAAAGTAATGTTACTTTTATATTAGCACTTGTGAAATAGTTGAAGTAAATAGTGGAAAAGTAAGAGTAAATATGAGTAGCGGACGGGAAATTGCCTATTAAATATTCAGAATTACACAAAATATTAGCTGCTTTTTGGGGACTGACCCTTTTACACTTCTTTAGAAACTAATTGAGAATTGAAAGACAGTGAAAATTCATAAAGTACGGTAGACAATCAGTGGCTATCTTTTTGTTGTTATTTCCCCTATCTATCTCGCTTCGCATCAATTTATACATACATGCTAGTTGTTCTTAATATTTTAATAAGAACTGATTTTCTTTCCACTGTTGTTGAATGATATTTATCTGTAGTAATATGATTTAACGCAATGATTAAAGGTATTCCTGGTACAATACTACACTTCTTAGCAACCGAGTCCCTCATCCTCCTTTCGTTCAACAAATTGGTACCAAGATAAAAACAATGCTTCGATACATCGAAAGTCCATTGCGACAAATCTTCATTCAATCGTGTCTAGAATTCTTAATAAAGTCGGACGCAATGTACGTCTTGCTCAGAGATTAATCAACGCCGAACACGTTGTCCTTCGTCTTTTTATGATATGATAAATCGCGGTAATAAAACTGACTGAGTAAAATATATGATGGAGCCCTCCTCGGATTTTCTAAAGGTTCTTTCTTATCCATGTTACGTTATTAGATGAGTAAATGGCCCATCTTTACATAACTTCTAGACCCCAGCAGTTCCATTCGGTTCTTGACGTCGTCATCAATTAATTCAGTCGCCATCGCGTGTAATCCTCGGCTTGTGTGGTTTTTGTCTACGTCGACACTTCTAGAGTTGAGTGTTGCTCAAGCAGTGCTTCATCTGTAAGCACTAGACTGCCATAGTGAGATGTTCCTAGGTCTTAAATATGCGGACGTCAGCAATTCTGGATAGGAGAGTTTAGTGCTTTCTGACCTGCATTTCTCCAACACGGGACCAATCATTGTGATTAGTCGTGCAATCGATCGAGGACTATGTAAAAACTGGTCCTTCATTCGAGAACAGCAAATTATTACGCTTCTTCTATAATTACGAGTTAGCCGTGCTATGGTGTTGCTAGGTTTCGAACATTTGCGGACGTCAGCGATTTCAAAGAAGAAAAGGTCTGACGCCTTGTGACCAGCAGTTTTCTAAGACGGCAGCATTCTTGCGATTAGTCGACAATCAGTAGAGAACGATGTGAGTGAGAGTAGTAAAGCCGTTTTGACAAAGAGAACTTTTTGCAATACTTTAGACAATTTACAATTGTACCTTCCTCACAGCAGCTGTAGAATGTTTACACTTACATGCAAGATAGAAACATTACACAGCTTTCATTTCATTTTCGGAAGTTAGTGATCAAGCGCCTGGAAGACTCGGGTTCAATTCCAGACCGGGAAGATTGCTAGTTCATTCTTCTTTCACTATTAGACGATATTTGCCATGAAACATATTTGCTGAAGCGTACTCCGCCAACCATCCTCGGTAGTATAGTGGTTAGTATCCGCGCCTGTCACGTTCGAGACCCTGGTTCACTTCCGGCCGGGGAGTTTATTTTTCGATTTTCGATGACCAAGCATAACTTCTTCCTCTCCATACTTTGTTTCGAGTGTTTGGGCCATGCATGCGGTCCGTTAGAGACCAACTTACAGAGCCGGACGATATTTGCAACGAAACATGATTGCCAGAGCACCACTTTGACCCGTTCCTCGGTAGTATAGTGGTTAGTATCCGCGCCTGTCACGTGCGAGTCCCCGGGTTCAATTCCCGGCGGGGGAGTACTTTTTTTAAATTCATGATGACCAAGCATAACTTCTTCCTCTCTATTTTTTTGTTTAAAGTGTTTTCTTAAGAGCATGCCCAAATTTCAATATGCCTGATAATCGTTTTTTGAGCCATGCATGTGGTCTGTTAAAGACCAACATACAGAGCCCGGACGATATTTGCAACGAAACATGATTGCCAGAGCACCAATTTGACCCGATCCTCGGTAGTATAGTGGTTAGTATCCGCGCCTGTCACGTGCGAGACCCGGGTTCAATTCCCGGCCGGGGAGTACGTTTTTGATTGTCGATATTCAAGCTCTTTTCCTTCCCCTCTCCACTACTAGGTGGCTTTCGCATGACAAATGCTTATTAAAGCAGTAATTGTCACTCAATATTCGGTAGTAAATTGATCAGCATCGGTGTCCTACATACGAAGGTTCAATTACCGGCCGGTGAGTATACTTTTGTATTTCGAATTGAAGCTCTAGTCGTTCCCATTTCCTCTATTAGACAACATTTGGGATGACATGTGTCTATGGAAGCAGGAAGTACCATTCAATTAGTGATTGTTTCTTGGATAGTCAGGTACCTTAACGTGATCCCACATTAGAGTCACTAACAATTCAGATGTTTTCAACGCTACACTTATTCCATGGCAAAAATGAAAATATATTTAAGTTGCATTTTCAAAAGCAACTTCCTTTTCATAATCAGCGATTTTTTTCATGGATAGTCTGGTAAGACAGGGTTGATAAGAATGTTGATAAGGAAGAAAAACTCAGTTTCGCTAATGTTGTGACGTTTTCCTCTTCAAAGCCGATGATTCGAGTTGATTCCCTTTATGGCTCTGGCACTCCAGAAGACGAAGACGTCGGAACGTCAAACTAATAAAGCACTTTTGTCATTTTTTCACATGACCCGCTGTCACAATTCACTGTGCGGATTCCAGCAGTTCTAACATTCGGTCGTTTTCTCGCATTCATCCTTTACAAAGGTTTTCAAACATTTCTAGTCCGTAGCGATTGCTGCTTAAGAATTTCGTGTTCTTCATGCAGGTTGTGGAATAATGATCGAGACGAATGCGACCACAGAGACAGTCGAACTGAGACGTCTAGATAAGAACTGAACACTTGGACGGCCCGTCTTCACTAATAGTGCGGGCCCTAGCACAGGGAAAGCGTGCTGTTCAGATGTTTTCTTCCTTGGAGTCTCGAGATAAGCCTAGCCGGGGCTTCTTCAGGTCATCATCACCTCAGAGCAGTCGTCGAAATTTTTGGATTAGAGGGAGATTAGCATTGCGACTAGTAGCTACCAAGACGGCGCTCATTCCTGGTACGATTTACTCTCATAGCCAAGCCTTCCTATTGGAAACGCGGACTGCTGCTCAGGGAGATTGCCGGGGAGTTGAATCCCCCTACTGTATCCGCAGTCCCACACCTGGGAACACCTCCCAGGCACGACGAAGCGGTGAACTATCTAGGATGAAGAGATTATCATCATAGTTAAATTAGATTTCTCCTGTAGATCGACATTCGCAATCGCCTAATATTTTGAAAATTCTGATAAGATTCTTGAGGTTTTAAGCTGATTGAGGTTCTTCATTCGGATGCTCTCACCGAAGAAAATTAGACTGGAGTATCGAAGACAAAAACGACAACGAAGACATAGACAGTAACGAGGACGAACGACGGTGGACAATCGACTCGAATCATTGGCTCTGAAAAAGACGATGATGTCGAAACGTCAGTGAAAATATGTTATCAATTCAGCCCAGTGGCTCTGAACAATGTAAAACCTAGCACACTTAGAGAGAAAACTGCTCTAGCTGAGTAGTGGCATCTACAGTCGAAACCCAATGATCACAGTTAAAGCCTCGCTCAAAAATTCAGTATATTCTGATAGAATGTATCAAGCCTTTCAGAGATATGGTAGGCTAGGTATACGTACGTTTCGGCGCTCTCTCACGCTTAATCAGTACCACATGCGCTACGGCTCACCCTTCCTACTAATAGCAGCGGAGTTGAAGATATGTCAGTCTAGACGAAGTGAAAATACCACTTGATGCTGCGATGTAGACTCAATTCCAGTCGATGGCTTACGTCTGTTAACGAAGCATATAACACCAATTTTCGTGCAAGATCTCAAACATGATCGATTGAAGGGTATTGTTATATGCTTCGTCAACAGCCGTAAGCGATCGACTGAAAATCCGTCTAGATTGAAACATCAAGTAATATTTTCACTTCATCTAGATTGATGCATGTTTGGCGCCGCTGCTATTAGGACTAGAGGTGAGTCGTAGAGCATGTGGTACTGATGAGGTGTGCCAGAAGCCGAAACGTATGTATACCTAGCATCTCATGTATATGTATAGCAGATCTCTGAAAGGCTCAAAATATTCTGTCAAACAATTTTGTGATACTGTTGCGTAATAGTCATATCCACCGTGGAGGTATGATAGGAAAAACTTGATGACTTTAGTGCCTATTCTAATCGTCAGATGAAGGAGTAGCGTGGTAAGCGATACGGTATATCAGAGTGTAAGGTGAAAAGCAAGTTGCTGGCTCGATCTCTTCATCAACCCTCCAGCAATGCAAGGAGAATTGCCCAGACCATCACAATAGTAAGACATGCATAAAGAAAACAAAGTCCTCAAACAGCAGCCAGAAGGAAGCGCGAGATGTTCAAAGACCTTTGTGGAGAATAAATGCGACTATACAGACTAAATTCGAAAAATCTTAGGATCGCCAGAGCAATTTGTGATAACACGTTCTGCGAAATAAATAATACCTGAAAAAATCTCTATCAATAAGTTCGATGTGAACTGAGATAACTTTGTAGTAAAGTGAATGATAGATATTTTTGATCGAACTTCGAGAATCTGTTAGACATTCAACGAAATTAGTGCAATACGGAAAACGTGTCTTAGTTGAACGAAAATTTCCAAGAGGGCCAAAATATTCGAATACGTCAATCGAACGCGCATCTCATCATTCCGAGGGCGCATGCTAACCTATTGCACTACCTACTCAGTTGCCGATATGTGCTTATCATGCCAAACCGTTGACAGTTGGTTGCTGACAGGTCGATGTTTTGTATCGCAGAAAGAGTGTTAGCAGAACAAGACCTCGGTGCAAAAGGTTAACACGCGCCCCGCAAAGGGTGAGATGCAAGTACGGTTCCCGTTTGCATACCACTCAACACTACTGGATTTATAGTTGTAACATCATACCACCGCTATAACGTGGTTGGAAAGGAGAAATCTTGCTGAATATATCATCGAATACATCCATGGAAACTTATTGAAGAAAGATATTGCAGTGGATTTCTTAGGTCGTTTCATGTTATTTTAGCACCAGAGCAATAAGCAACAAATTTATTAATCAGAAGTCATTAAAATTGCATGATTTTGGTATCGCTCAATGCATATTTTCTTGCGAAGATTTTGATACACAGCTTGCCTATGCTTGCTCAAATACCGAGCTGTCGTCAGAACAAATTCGTTCGCTACTCATGCACGAATGGCGCGCAGGGGAAATTGCTAATGAAACAGCGCGCAAGATGAATGGAGCTTCGGCTGATGATACGGTAGCAGAAAGGACGGCTAGGAAGTTTTTTGAGAAGTTTAAAGCTGGAGAGAACACTCTGGAAGATCAGTCACGCTCAGGCCGTCCACAAGAAGCTCTATAACCCTTAACGAACGGCGCATACCAAGTTGAATACACAGTTGTTTGAAGGCCTTTCTCGCAAAACAAAATTTTTCTCATAGATTTTTGGTAATCATTGGAAACCTTAAGTCTCTCCGGTTTCAGCAATATGTTTGGTTTTTAGAAAAGCCTTTTTATTACGTTGTAGCAGCGAATACAAACTCATGTTTCACACTCAGTTCGTTTTATTTCCTCGGCTGAGGCTTGTCTATGGCTCTTCGCCAAACTTTCACTAACCGTTTGATAGCCAAAATCTCGAGGAATTCAACAATATATGTGGTTTCTCGAAAGGTTGCCCTAAAATGCTGTAAAAGGGAAAAGAAGATTACGTTTCGCACTTGAATTTCTATCGTGCAGAAAATTTATATATATACACGAAAAATATACGACCATGTAGAGATAATCATGTAATATAGGCTTATCAAAAAAACTAAGGTTTTACTCCACAAATGGAGGAAAAACCCAAACTGAATAGCGAAAAGCGCGCGCCCCGTGCAGATTGCCCAGCGCGATCGATCGATCAACAGCCGTCCCTATAGGGTTAGTGTTGCGCACCGCTTCCTTCGCACATTCGTGATGAGTGACAAGCGCATTTGTTCCCAAAACAGCTTCATCTTCGGGCAAATATAGGCAAATTGTATACCAAAATGTTCGCAAGAAAATGCGCATTTGAACGATAGCAAAACAATGCAATATGCCTGGTGATCATTTTTTAAAACACGCATGTCAGTGGTCTATCAAAGAGGGCTGACGTATAAAGCCCGATACACGTGTTTCGATCTTGCGATCTCGTCAGTCAGGCTTGTACCCTTTCTCGTCTTTTGCTAATCCTGTGTGGGTGCTCCAGCCCTCACAGAAATTTGAGCCGTGGTCTTGAGAAAACACTGGAAACAAAAGATTAACCATGCAATTCCAAGTACTTCTTGTTAGTAAATTTAGACTTTCGTGTAAGACCACAGCTCAAAATTCAATATGCCTTGCAATCATTTTTGAGCCACGCATGTCAGTGGTCTGTCAAACAGGGCTGACTTATAGAGACACGTGTTTCGCCAATCCTGTGTGGGTGCTTCAGTCTCCACACTAAGAGTTAGTGACGTAAGATCGAAATACGTGTATAGAGCTCTATAAGTCAGCCCTCTCTGATAGACCACTGACATGCGTGGCTCAGAAGTGATTGCAAGGCATATTGAAATTTGAGCAGTGGTTCTGACAAAACACTCGAAACGAAAGATAAACCATGCAATTTCAAGTACTTCTTGTTAGCAAACTTAGTGTTTATTGCTCTAACACTAAAACTTATCGTACGACCTGATATTTACAACTCCAGTGAAGAAAAATCGTCCAGAATGGTGACAAAGGGCTCTAGTCGAATTATTTTCAATTCCATTGACAAAATCACCTCCTCTACTGAACAACCGATACGTAACCGATCAATCAGATCTATCAGAATCGAGATCAATCGATCTATCAAATTCTTGAAATTTGTGCTATCGAATGACTAGTGAAGTGACTTTCGGTACTGCGCCATATCGAAGCCGCAGAGCGGAGCAGATGAAGGAAATTGAGCGTGAAACATAATTTTATTTTCGCTGTTATAACGTAATAAAATGCTTTTTCGAAAATCAAACATATCTCCGTAATTAGAGAGATTTGAGCTCTTAAACAATTATCAAACGTCTGAGAGAGAACTTTTGCCTAGCGAGAAAGGCCCTCCAAACAATCGTGTTGCTCAGCTAGTACACGCCGTCCCCTAAGAGTTAACAAGTAATATGATCATTTGAGCAGACAGTTATCAAACCCCTTGATCTGGCTGACGAAGGTGGGTGGACTAACTCATTAAAGAGAGGTTTTCTATTTCTGATTTTGAAGAAAGAAATGTAAAGAAAGGGGGAGTTTAGGAAGAAAATACGGTATGTTAGACGGCGACAAATTTTAAGCCAATCTCATTGGCTAGAGAGAAACTTTTCATAGGAGTGTTAGTCATCATTCGACAGCTTAAATCTCTGGCTACAATTCCATGTGTCCGGTTTTTCAAAACACGCTTTTATAACGATGTGGCATCCCGATAAAAATTTTTCTTCTCACTCACCTTTCGCCTTCATTTTTACCACGCGTATAAATCGCTGGAAGCATGAAAAGCATATCAGTTTAGAGAATTTTCCGTACTATCAGAATCTATGTTTTTCTTCAAAGTTCCTATCGATGCGATGAATAAAATTCCCAATTGAACAACAATAATTCAAACTCGGTCGATCACCCCTCCCCCGGTCCGTGAGCTGCCCGGTAAACAAGGTCGCCAAAAGGTTCTTAGCTCAGGAAAATGTGAAGGAAAGCCACAGCGACAACTTGCCCGTAAGGTAATCGCCTGATCTACCGCATAGCTCGATAGGGATCCACCGCACTATGCGTTAAAACGGCGGCAACTATTGTTATTTTATTAAGGATTTTCTCACCGAATCGACATCGACTTCAGATAAAAACGCATGATTCTGACACTACGGAAAGTTCTCTACACGCTGATGCGCTTTTCGTGGTTCCAGCTATTTATACGCGTGGTAAAAATAGAGGCGAAATGCGAATGAGAAACAAACTTTCTTCTGGATGCTACAGCGTTATAAAAGGGTATTTTAGAAAACCGGCCACGTGGAATTGTAGCCAAAGATTTGAGCTTTCGAATGATTACTAAACATTCCTATGGAAAGTTTCTGTAGAGCGAATCAGATCGGCCTAAACATTTGTCGCCGTCTACTGCATAAGTATCGAAAATGTCAGAATTTTTTTTATTTCACCGCAACTTACGGTGGTATAATGTTACAGTATATGCGATATTGTGGAGTGCTGTGCAAAACATTTGCGTCAGCCGGCGATTCGAACCCAGATCTCACTCTTTCCGGAGCGAATGCTAACCGTTGCACACGACGCTGGCCCCCCGGGAAAGAATGAGATCTGGGTTCGAATCCCGGCTGACGCAAATGTTTTTGCACAGCACTCCGCATTATTGGATATATCGAAAATGTTTCAAAATGATGTCTATAATTTGGATTCTATCCTGATCTCTCATTTAAATAATCAAAATAAAAGTAAAACTTTGGAAAAAACCTCAAGCCTTCAGTGAATCTCAGTCACTCAGGAATATAGGAAATAGGCCGGACAAATAAATAAACAAATAAGTGAATAAATAAATAAATAAATAAATAAATAAATAAATAAAGATGAATATAAAGACATAAACAAAACAATAATAGATAAATAAGAATTTATTTACAAATAAAAGATAAATAAAGTAAATAGGTAAACAATAAATATAAATAGGAGATATCTGAAGGAAGCGATGGGACCACTGACAAGCATCACTCCGAGGAAATGAGAGGAGAGAATGACTGACGACGGGAAGGAGTGGGAACTTCCCGTAGCACATGACGTCGTCCTCACCCCTTGATGACGTCATCGCAGAGTGTGCAAATCAGCTGATCGACTGCTTCGTGCACGGGACGGACGGACGGATGGACCACCCGGAGCTTGTCGGGTACCAGCTGGTCATTTGATCGTGATCGCCTTGTAGCAAAGTGTCCTTGTCATGGAAAACTGTCCTAACATCCAGCATGAATCAGCTTTCCTCCTCAATGTACATACTCTCCGTAGTATAGTGGTTAGTATACGCGTCTGTCACATGCGAGACCCGAGTTCAATTCCCAGCCGGGAAGAACGTTTTTGAATGTCTATGTTCGAGCTAAACATTGTCCCAATTTCTCTGTTAGACGGTACTGGGCATGATACATTTGATGAAGCACCACTTACCAACATCACTCGGTAGTCATAGTGGTAGTATCCGCGTCTGTCACATGCGAGACCCGGGTCAATTCCCGGCCGGGGAGTGCCTTTTTGATTTTCGATGACAAAGCACAACTTCTTCCTCTCTATTCTTTTGTTTCGAGTGTTTTCTTTAGAGCATGCCCAAATTTCAATATGCCTGATAATCGTTTTCTTGAGCCTTGCATGTGGTCTGTGAAGACAAACCTACAGGAGCCCGGAAATCGTTCTGCAATGAAACATATTTGCCAAAGCACGCATTTCACTTCATCCTCGGTGGTATAGTTGTTAGTATCCGCGCCTGTCACGCGCGAGGACCCGTGTTCCCCAATTCGCGGCCGGGTAGAACGTTTTGGATGTCGATGTTCGAGATAATCTCCTTCCCATCCCCTCCGTTATACGGTATTTGTCATGAGACATGTTATCTGTGCAAAAATTGTCATTTGATCTCCGCAAAATTAGTGATAAATCGCATGGAAGACTTCTTGGTTCAATTCCAGGGCCGGAGGAACATTACTAGTGTCATTCTTCGTTCACTATTAGACGATAATTGCCCATGAAAACATGTTTAATGAAAAACGCGCTT